CGTTCCAATTTCGTCGAATCTTCAATACCAAATCGTTTATCAACATCTGATGGATTTCCATAAATATCATAATAGATTTGTTCGGCTGAAATTCTGTGTAGATGAGCCACCAATTCCAAAGCAAGACCACGTCCATCTTCATTCCATGCATCCCAGATAGCTGCAGCTCGATTTTGTACACGTTGAAATTTACTTAGTAGCAATGGACTATGTTTATTTCCGGTAACAGTTCGAATATTGACTCGGTGTGACATGGCCACTAATTAAAATTATCTGAAGTTGAAAAGAAAAGACAATTAGTGAAGATATAGTACAGGGTGGTCCATGAAGAACCCGGCGATAAGAAATTTAAATATTTCCATTGCGGCTCGAGCAAACGGGCTGATTTTTTTATCAATAATAGAGACATGTTTAAAGTTTATGTCCCTAAAGACATGTCTAGAGAAATCCTTTGCTAAGTATCACTAGTCATCTTATCAAAAAAAAATTTACTTTTTCACAGATAGAAGAAAAAACAATACACTTAACAAAGGACCTCTCTAGGCATGTCTTTATGGATATAAAGCTTGAACATGGCTCTATCATTGATAAAAATATCAGCTCGTTTGCTCGAGTCATCATGGAAATGTTCAATTATTTTTTCTTGCAACGTGACTTGTTAGAATGGCCCAAAAATCACGCAACCGAGTAAAAGATCGAATATCTCCATTTTGACTTGAGCAAACAAGCTGATTCTTTTATCAATGATAGAGGCATGTTCAAGCTTCATGTTCATAAAGGCATGCCTGGAGGGATCCTTGTTTAGGCACATTGGTTTCTTTTTCTATCTGTGAAAAAGTAACGTTTTTTGTTGAGGTCATTAGTGATACTTAACAAAGGCTTTCTCTAACCTTGTCCGTATGAATTGAAAGCGCAAATATATCTCTATTATTAGGAAAAAAAATCAACCCGTTTGCTTGAGCTATAGCAGAGATATTCAAATTTTTCTCCGTTGCATGAGTTTTGGGCTGCTCTGTTCCTAGTTGTGAAAAAGTAAAATTTTCTTGTTGAGATCACTAGTGATACTTTGCAAAGAATTTCTCTAGACATGCCTTTAGAGATATAAACTTTGAACATGTCTCTATCATTGATAAAAAAATCAGCCGGTTTGCTCGAGCCACAATAGAAATATTTAAATTTCTTATCGCCGGGTTATTTATGGACCACCCTGTATAGTAGATTAATATAGATCAAATAGTATATCAAATAAATACAATTTATGGTCTGTATATGATCTAATTTCATCATTTTCTACAGACTAGATTCATTGAAACATACATGTAGTCTTTCTTTATAAAATGAAGATAAGATAGAGAGAAGTACTTTAATTTAAAGAAATAAATTATTTATTTTTATATTAGAATGGTAAAATGAAAAAATCTAGGCATTTAAGTAGAGTCTATGGGCTTTTTTATTTCAAACTGAATTCTAAAATCAAAAAAACCACACCAATTTCTTCCGAATCAAACTTTTCTCCCTTGATACTACGTAGTCTCACTAAAAACCCTTAGTCCCCCCTAGTCCTGCAAAGTCCCCCTTAGTCCCCCCCACAAAAAGCTTAGTCCCCGCTTAGTCCCCTGTGCAGGGGACTAAAGCCTATAGTACACAAAACCACAAGCACACCTTCACCCTCACTCGCGCGCCCACACCCGCACCATGGGTGTGGGTGTGTGTGGGTCCCAGACCAACACCCACACCCTCAGTCACCCCCTCCCTCACTCCTAGACTCACGTTTCAGTTTGAAATCAAGTATTATTTTTATTTGATAAATTCAGACTGAAATTAAATAGCCCATTGTATGTCCTCGGAATAGGTCAATATTGGTATAGGAAAAAGTGAATGAAACAGATGAGTCACCCTAGAATCTGTGGACATCAAAATTGCCCTGGGAAACTCTTCCTGTAAACACTTAGTTTCTATTGGCTATTGCTCAGCCAATACGATTTGGAGGCAAATACAGCTCAGATTTGAACTCTTCACCTTGATTTACCTAAGAAACTCGTTTTTCCTATAACTTGATTTCTATTGGTCACTGCTCAACAAATGGGATTTCGAGGCGAATGGAACACAGATTCGAGTTCTCCATTTTAGAAAACCTCGAACTATCATCTCTGTGATGGGAAGATAGAGCTCGAATTGTGGATCACATAGAGCGTGGACAAAAACAGAACCGAATTCCGATTAATTATCTTTGCAATAGGCGAGTCAGCTTTCTTGTTTCTTTATATTTTATATACCATTTTGTAGCTCGTGAAATTCTCTATCGAATGGTATATAATAGTTGGGGGTTTATATGACTATGATAGGAAAAGTTTTTTATGAAAGCAGAGAAGGGTCTATCTTCTCATGGGGAAAAATGACTATTTTTGCAATAACTCAGCAATGGTTCGGCCAATCATTCTCATCTTCGAACTCGACCGAGATATTGTAAAGACTAAACTGTGTAGAAAATTTCATCGCGATCGGACTCTCCTTTCAAAAGTTATCGTGTTAACGGCCGGACGGACACACTGACCGATTCTAGAGTGTACTCACTTTTTGAGTACACAAAAAGGGTATGTATTTTGGGAATAACTTTTGATAGGAGCAAGATAGTAATTTGCGTTTTTCACGATTAACAAAGTGTGATAAAACTGTTTCAAATCGTATAGACCAGTTTTTTCTGACACGTTTTCTCAGAGTCTGTCATCAAGTTTATGTAAAAAATACAACATATTGTAATATAGATTATAGAATTTCAATTTTCAAGTATGCATTAAAAGAATTAGCTAAAGATTTATAAATGATGAAAGTCCGATGTTGTAAGGCTTAGTCAATCATGAGTTAAAAGTATTTAACTGCGCATGATCGACATATTTTTCATATGGAATTTTTCTTTTAGTTTTTTCATAAATGATTCACTCTAAAACGTACAGGGTATCTGGAAAGCAGCTCCCTATTTTAAATTCTTTTTTTCTCTCTAATAAGAATAGAAATTGTATTACTTTTTTTTTACTATTTTGAAGCATGCTTTATAAGGTTTTGTTTCATATAGGAAAGAATGTTAATGTATTGACTATTTAAGATCAAACGCAAATTTTATCTGAAAAATGCTTGAAAAATAACTTCTTATTTTTCATCGTTTATTACTTTTATACAAAGCATATATGTTGTAATAATTTTTTTCTATTTTGAGGTGTGTGAAATAGGTTTACGCGATAATGTCTCAAAAATAGTCGCGACAGTATTGTATTTCAAAACCATGAAAAAATTATTACAATATATATGCTTTGTTTAAAAGACTCGATTTTTCAGAAAAATTAGTGAACGATTCTGAGAAAATTTGTCAGAAAAATCTGGTATATAAGATTCGATGTAGCTTCATTCCTTCTTTTATATGGTGCAAAGAACAAATATATATCTTATTTCTATCAAAGATTATTTCAGAAATATTTGTTCTTTTCTGTTGACATGAATAATAGTATGGTTCATTTATTTGTTCTTGGACCACATGTAACCTATTAATATTAGATGAGCTTAAAGAATATATAAACTTTTACAGATAAGAACAAATTACTTACAAGAAAGACTTTTTCACCATCCTGTACCGTGATCCGTTCAGTACCATTCACTGTATCTCTCGATAGTATTTTCATTGATGATGGTGGTGCTGCTGTTGGAACCTAAAAAGAGCGAAATGATAGATTTTTTTTATATTAAAGTCATACTATGGGAATAAATTTCGTTACTAACTTGATTATAAAAAGCCATGATACTAATTGAGGTGTCTAGTAAATCAGCTAATTTACATTTTGGCAGAGGTAAAGAGTCCGTATACGGATGGTTGTTATACGTAATGAAGTGATCTGCCTCTTTCTTCACTACATTGATGACATTGCTGTATCGACTGATAATAAGAATAGCTGTTGCTTTATAAGTGATCAGTTGACCACTTGAATCAATAAGTTTTATTTGTGATTGAAAAACATTCTCGGGTGGCACATCACGATTTACAAATTTCTAAAATAGATTTTAAAAAATTCAACGATTTTATGTTCTAGTTCATTGTAATGATTTAATTTAAGAAATAGTTTCAAGGCTTTTGCTAATATAAATCAATATCATTGCTGAGCTTTATGAGAAAAGATTAAGAAGCTATAGATTTAATTCCATTCAAGGCCTGCTATATACTGAAAAGTATGCTGCAATATAAACAATATTTTACACATTTTCTTATAGTATATAATTTCTGACTATCGTTATGCTAGAATTTAAAAGTAATTGTTTATAATCAACGCAAAACTCACCAATAATACAATAGGACATTTGTGAAAGATTTGTTTATATACTGGTAAATCAATATTTTTGATGGAATATTTACAATTTTCACAAGATCGTTCATCATCTGTTAAATCATCATTGTCTTTCGAAATGACTCGATGAGCCACTAATTGATTGTTTACAGTAAGTTTAAAAATAAAAATTTGATGATGTGATGATACGAGTGAATTCGGTGTTTGACGGCATAAAGGACAATAAAAGTAAGTAGAAATATCTGAGATGAGAGTTTCTTTTAATTCATTAAGATCAGGATTAGTTTCAATTATTTGACATGCTTCTTGAAGTGTAAGAGATATTGACACATCAGGAAATTCTAATGACGAAGCATCAGATGAACATCGAGCAATAGCATACACCATGTTAAATTTTGTCTGGTGAAAAATGCGTTCAAATATTAAAATACCTATAATAAGAAAACAAATTCATTAATACTTTGCTGAAATCAGTTAGAGAACATCAGACTTCATTTAAGTTTTAAAACGAGTTAGGAAGATCTCATGAAACTTCAACAGCTCCTAAGGTTCCAATGCAAATTAAAAACGATAACCATCAGACTTTGAAATATTTAGTAAGACTATTATGAAACGGATGATTATTTTGGTAAATTAATTAGTTTTGGCTTCTTATATGGAGTGCTAAAAGTAGCTCTCACGATTAAAAGGCTCTTGTCAACAGCCAAAAATTTCACTATTTCAAAATTCAAGAAGTTTGAGGACTCAACTGTATTAGGTCAAGTGTGATGAAATGTCGACTCTGTTAGCAAATTCAGAAGTAGAGTTTTACTTACGACTGGATCCATATAGAAGACGTAATTGTTCTCCATTGCCAATTATTTTTTTATTAACACTGGTAGTCCAATTTTTTTTAGTTTTTGTCACTCGTATCATAACATTTT